CTGGTTCCACCGTGTGGTACAGGATCAGCACCCCCTGCTTCACGGGTCGGCCGTGTCGGGGTCGGGGGGCCTCCACGCTGCGCAGCAAGTCGGCCGGCAGGGATCTCCTTCAGATACTCGGTTCCACTGCGTCATGCGCAGCCACGGGTTCGCGTCGTGGGGCTGCGTGGGTTCGACGGGGGCCTGTCGACGGGCGGGCCTCGGCCTGCTCCCACGCCTGCACCACCCGCATCGATCGCCTGCTGGGCCTGACTGGGTCGGGGGGGGTGGCGGCGCCCGGCCGTGCGGGAACCGGATGTGGATGTAGTGCGAGCCCGCGCGCGAGGGAAACAGCTGCTGGTACGACACGATCTCGTACGACCGCTGCAGCTCGGCCTCGCGCGCCGCCCCGCTGGGACTGCGGGGCGCGGCCACGCTCGGGGTACTGGGACCACCGATGGACGCGCTGCCAGTGCGTCCGCATCGCTTTCATGCTAGACACCAGATAATGGCACGTCGCGGGATCCCGGCGGCATAAAATCCCCTGCGCATAGCATGGGAGGATCGGGAGCGGTTCGTCTAATGCGTGGGGTATCTGCGCTGCCTGGCCGTGGGCCGCGACGTCCGTCCACTGCTGGATCTCGTGCACCAGACGCGCGACCGTCGGACAGTCAAGCTGGTGCTGTCGCTTCAGATGCCGCTCGGCCTCGCCGGGCCAGACGCCATATTGACACTGGCGACAGATCATCACCCGCAGCCGCGGGATGCGCTCGAAGAGCTTATCAGCCATTGGATTAAAAAAAAAGGAGAAATAAAAGAATCTACGCTCGGTAAGTAGTATAGGAACAACGATCGCGAGAGGAACGAACCAACAGGAACAGATAGAAACGAATAGATATCTAAGCAGTCTTCCGATTCAGGGGGCGGGAATACTATAGTAAGTCAGTAATATTATACTCCGGGAAGAGAACTATAGGGTACGGGTGGCGGCGAACCCGCACCCCATCAAAAATTCCGTCCGCACACCCATCGACTTTGGAGGACATTTACCAGCGCACCGCACGAGCGATCGCGATCAAAATCAAACAGAAGGGAAAGAAATGGCCGCCGAGGAAGGGAGCCAAGTTTCAGCGCGCCCGGCCGCCGGGAAGCCCAAAAGTAACGGGTGGGAAGCGGGCAAATCCAGCGGACGCGGACCCCAAACCCTAGCGCCCATACCAATCCGCCGAACCCGAATGGTAGCGGAGGGCCGCTACCCCGGGGCTTCTGGGGTAGGGCATTGTTGTGGTATTTTTGACAGGCTAAGGCCCCAGGATGACCGTTTAAGATCCTAGAGACTGATATAAAGTAAGACAGAATTAAGGTTTGCGGGAGATCTATAGAGGTGGGGCTCTGCGTTAGTGAATAGGGACCCGCATCCGCCTATGGAAAACGTCTGCAGATCGGTCCCTATCAAAGTAATGTAGGAGTTCGGTCAGCATATCTAAATAGAATAACCGTCCTACTGGCGATTATTCGGTCATGTCTAATTTCCAGTCATGACTGAAAAGTGCCCTAGGATTCCACCGGCCGGTTCACTTCTGAGATAGTCATATAATCGCTATGCTGGGGGTACTGCGCGCCTACAAGAAAGTAAAAAACCAGAACTAGCACGGAAAAGAGAATAAATTGCTAATGCCTGCCTTACTTCGGAATCGAATATTACAAGGGGCGGATCCATGCGTATGGCTTTTGTCGTTTCCGGTTCTCTTTTTCCTCTTTGATTACCTCTGCAGGAATCTGCAGTAATAGTAAGAGTGAAAAATCATGTGCAGGCAGTCGGCGTAATTGAGGAGCAAAAGCCTTAATCGTGCCTTCGTCCAGGCGAGGTCGATTATATTGCTTACGATCGCGACAGATGAGTTCGTACATCCGCTTCTCGATCTGCTGAATATACTGGATCAGCCGGGCTTTCTGCGGTTCGATTCCCTCTTCATCGGAGGTTTGCTCATCATTTTCGGCCGGAGGCTCGGGCTCAGTGTCAGAGTAATAGTCCGGGTAGGAGGAGGGATGGCGACGACGCTGGACGCACTGCCGACGGTGGTGAAGAATCTCATATTTATATAGAGCGGGATGGAGCTTCCGGCTACACGCGGAGATCGACCATGTCTCAACCGGACCAGTGATCGGATCAAATGGATTCTGGATCCGCTCCTGATTCTCAAAAATTACTCGCGAAGATTGGTGTACCGGTCGTTGGGGCGGCCTATCTGGCGACGTCCATTGGCTCTGTAGGTCGCGTAGGGTCTGATAGAGCTCGGGATCTGATAGATGCAGAAGGCGCTGTTCAGGTTCAATTGTATAGTCAAGATGGGCGAGAGAGGGCTGCGATGGGCTCCAACCGGTCGTCGGATGATGCTTGATATAGGACGCCGGAAAGGGGCGGTCAAACATATTCAGCTCGTGGTAGTACAGATCCATCCCGCGATGCACGCTGGACCACCACATCACCTGGCCACTCTCCTTAGACTTTCGCATGAAGCTATTGTTCTGAGGATAGGGAAGCATCCAATGGCTCTGAATAAAGGAATCTTTTAGACCCTGTTTCCACTGACGAGCGGCGTCCTTGCCTTGGATCAGGGTAATCACCTCGAAGCTCTTTTGATAAAGAAGTCGGTAGGGCTTGTGATCCCATCCTTTTCGTTCGAATCGGCCATCGCGCCACTCCCATAGCCATGTAAAAAGGACATTAATATGTTTGACCGCCATGCGGTTCCCCGACGCAATATAGGGCGGACAGTGTTGGGTCTGCAGCGCGCCTTCGAGACTCGGCCAGCAGAGCGGGATCTCTCCCGCTAACGCTGCGCTTACGGATTCAGGCTTTAGAAGCCGTTTGATCTGCGTAAAAACATCCTTGCGAAAGGCCCGCAAACACAGCTGCCGCAGATATTTCTGCAGATAGTCTTGGCAGGTAGGAATACTGCTAAACTCGGTCATCCACTGGTGGATCTGGCTGATGCGAATGAAGTCCGTGCGAACATCCCGCACCTGGGAATAACGCGCGTGGTACGCGGCTTGGAGCGACGGGTTGTTGAATTGGATGTATTGCGTGGCCGGCTGTCGGAACACCATCATCTCCCAATCTATCTTCTCCAGGAACCAGCCGTACCCAAATTGCTGCATATTCCGCTGGAAGCCCAGCCCCTCGCACCGCCGAAGACCGTCCGGCTGGGTGGGATCCGGGCGAAACCAGACATCGCGCCAACAGCCGGAGACCCGCTCCAAAAGGCCGCCGGAGTAGGAGAATGGAAGGCAGCGGAGGAACATTAACATGACCCGGGTATGCTCCCAGGTCACAAAATGCCGGTCATTTAAGCTGTACACCATTTCAAACCCAACACAAAACTTGTTGATATTCCATCGGAACCAGCGAAGAAGCGTCAAGGTCGGCAAAGCGTAGTAACTCTCGACCCGATCTCCAGAACCCAGAAATCGGGTGGTAGACTGTTGCCGGGTCTGAAATTCGTGCAGAATCTGACAAAATAAAGCGTGAGAGACCCGGTGCTCTTCGCGCAGGCCAAAGACCTTAGGGACCGATCCTTGTAACGCAGCATGGCACCGTTGCTTTGTGGTGAGATAGGCCCGGTTGAGCGCGATCGGATTATGGCTAAGACCACCGCCAACGGTCTGCCACGTCTTGCGAAGCTGGGGATCCAGCGCCAAGGTCTCCGTTGCAGTATTGGTAAATGGATATGTATTGCCGGCGGCGAAGACCTCTTTCACACTAGCGTAGAATTGACTATAATAGAGACCGGCCCGCCGCTGCGGTGATGTTCGCCGGGTCTCTAACGTCAGGCTGCCGGTGTCTTCTAGCATACTGATTGGGTAGAAGTGCTGCAGAGCATGGGGGCGCGTCCGCTGGCTGCTTGCTATGGGATCCACTGGCTATACGCGTTCAGGCAACAACGCCGCCAGAGTAAAGATTGCTGGCGGCCTCTCTCGCTCGCTCGCCGTGGTTGGGGCAGGTTTCTTTTCCAAGGTCGTAGAAGAACGGCTCAGCGAGATAGTCCTCATTAATAGCGTTCTGCCAGTGTTGTTGAAAGCCCGCCATGAGATCGGCTAATGTGTCTGCCTTAGTCAAGGTCTTTAGGTTTTTCCCCTCGATCAGAATCTTGAGATCCTGAAACTGGTGGCATCCGGGGCGGTGGGTCGCCTCTAGAATCTGTTCCCAGATCGTAGGAAGCGCCTCGGGAGGAAGAAAGTAGGCAAGGAGCTGCTCGCGGGGGATGGGATCCACTCGCTGGGACCGCATTTCTACTCCCCGGGCGGTTGCGTTCAGCCGGCTATGGTCAAAGCTAGAGGGGTAGTGCTGGATTAGGTCGCCGGAATAACACCGATTGATGATTGGGAGGAGGATATCGTCCGTCCATTGCTGGAAATCCTGGTCTAGCAGACAGCTGGATTGCTGATCTTCCCGGTACAGTCGGGGAAAGAGCAGATACAGAGAGATATCTTCGAATCCAATTAGACGACCAAAGGTATAGTGCGGCACTTGATGGACCGGCCGGCGAACATGGTGGGCCTGCCCGGTTGAGTCGAAATACTGGACTGAAACCGGATCTATATGCAGGCTGGACTGGAGGTCGGACACCGCCATCTGCGTAGGATGCCATCGGATCCCCCGACGAGCTACCGCCAGACTACTGACAAACCCACCCACGCTATCGATATCAACAGTCACGCCCAAGGAAGGATCGGGACGATGGTCGGCTGCCACGCAGAGATGCGTTGGGGATTCATCGGGCTTGTGAGGATCGATGCCGCAGTAGATCTGTTGTTTTCGTGCCTTGGTGACTTGCTGGGCGAGATTGGACTCGCGGGCCGCGATTGTAGCCGAGCCCAGCACATCCGGGAAATCGCCAGCGATATTAATCTGGTCCACATACTCCCCCAGCCCGGTATGAACCGAATGCGTCTCTTGGTGCGCCGCGCAGGCCTGCTCATGGCACTCCCGACAACAGCCGTGATGCTGATATAGCTGGTCGGCCAGCACGCGTGCCAGCGTGCAAACATCCTCGCCATCCTCGGCAGCCGCTGGGGCAGGGCTTCCGGTTTCTAAATTTGATAGATCACCCTCGAGGTGCTCACTGTGCGTCGGGTCGGGACTGTTCGGGAAGGTTAGGGGTAGGACTAGCGGCAGGTTCGAGACTGTTGAGCTCTAGAGGCGGCTCGTCAATTAGGATAGAGCTATCTTCGAGCTCCAGAGGAGCTGGATTGGGGCTTAACGGCGGGAGCAACTCTTCCAGTTCATGGGTCACCGACAACGCCGCTATGCCAGGAACAAGAGCGATCGGGCGTTCACCAGTTGCAGATGGACCGGCCGAGTAGTATTCATCAAAGAAGGTGTTGCGTTTAGCCGCTTGGGCGGCTTGTCGCTGATTTCGTTGTCGTGTTATCTTCGCGGCCTGTCGCTCTTCTGCAGACTGATACTTGGGGGGCCGACCGCGCTTTCGGGTGGAAGTAGAGTTAAGGGGAGACATAATAACGGAAGAATCACTAGAACCGAAGCCTAAGAGAGGGGAGAGAAAGTAGGCGGCGCTATAAGATAGAGAGATTTCAAGTGCCTTGGTCGTCGAAAGTTGAAATAAGAAAAAGGGGTAACAGGATGAATAGGTCGGTTTCTATTCTGTCTCGAAGATGATCTTAAAACAACGCATTATTACAACCTTCCCTAGCCAGGCAACCGATAGCAAGGTTTTCGGACATGACCGAAAGTCTTACACTTTCCTTATAAGTAAACCAGTGTCAGAATGTGCGAAGCATAGCGGTTGAAAGAAGCAGTGTACAGTATGCCAGGAAGTAGAGGTGATTAGAATATAAAACCAAAATAGGTCTAGTGTTGAGGACAAATCTGAAAGTAGTTTAGTGTTGAGGAATTTAATCGAAAAAGGCTTAGTTTTGAGACGTTAAGTCGAGCGGGATGATTAAGTAATCTTCCACCCGGAAAACCTCAAAAGTTGCCAACTTTGGCTAACGATTCCACGCGAACGGAAGAAGATATTAAAATTCTGATTGAAGGGCAGGATTGTGCATTAGCTACTCTATACCTCAGCGAATTTTTACATGGCATCGACGTTGTTGGGACTCTAAGTCTAGTCGGCAAACACCCTATGGCGTGATATAATAGCTCTTTCTACTACGTGCATACTATCTCTATCTAAATCGCTAATCCGCAGTACTATACTGTCTGTTAACTCTTCCGCGCTAATTAGTTAACAGTATCCTATAGCGCTTAGATAGCGGTTTTAATTAAATCCGCTAGGGCGTTAATAAGGGGCGGTTAGAATCGACAGCGTTAAGAGTAAATAATCTCCTTCTTTAAGCCCTTATTATTGCTATAGCCCCCGCAATATCGTCTTTAGGCAGAATCTCGCCTTTAGGCTAAACCCTCGGGATTAGGCGCCGTCACGCTCTATAGTAAGTTATTAAAGGGAATCTCGTGTAAATACACTGCCTACTATATAAATTATAGCTATAGGTTAGCGTTAGTAATAAAATCGGCTTAAATCGGCGCGTTTTTTTAGATCTATTCCGCTGTCTTCTACGCTTAAATTACTGTATCAACTGTCTGCTACGCCTAATCAGGCGCCGATAAAGAAGACTATCAGCCGTCGGGATATTAAATCTAGATATAATACGATCCGCGGCTACTAGAAAATACTTACTATTATAAGACTGTCTAATATAATTACTGTAATACAGCCTTACTACGAGCCTATTCTGCAAGTAGTAGTTGGTTACGGCAGGTCTGTTATAACTATTAATAAACTTAGCGCCAATACTTCTGTAAAGAGTCGAGATTCGACGCAATAAAGCAGCACGGCTTAGCGCTATATTAGTAGAGAAAGCTATTTAAATAATATAGCAGAATAGGCAGCGGGTTATTTAAGACCGTTAGAATCTAAATCGCAGAGCTATTCTGCGCAATCTAAAGCTACTACTAAATTGCCTGGACAATAGCGACGATATTGCTATACGGCAGTTAATACTGCTTTTTAAGATAATTCTCTAGCTTAACCGGTCGGATATTATACTAGCAGAAATAGTAGATAAGTACTTTTAATTCTAGGAGAGCAGAGAAGAGCTTAGTTTCTATTCTAAATAGTAATGGTAGATAATAATAAAAAGATAAAATGTGGTGGGGTGATGCACTGTTCCCCCTAAAAAAGATATATATAAATACTAGTATAAGAAAGCATGTATAGATTAGATTAGACAGGCGGCATCCTACTAAAATCTATCCTAACTACCTACTACTTTTAAACCACTACTATCTAACGTACAATCAAGTAAATATATTAAAATAATACAGAGTTAGAGTTAAATGGCCAATCTGCTAACTAGTAAAATTAGAAATTTATAGTTATACTGTAGTAGATAAAAGAGAGAATTAAACCGAAACCGACCAAGCTCCTTCTAGGGAAACTAACCATAGATTAACCCTAAAAAATTTTAGCTAATTAGCGGCCTTCCCGCGCGGAATTCTAGGCCGACCAAGCTCTTAGTTATTTAACTTTAGTTAGTTAGGGCCGGCAGCTGTGTCTTTATTGTTGATACATCCTAGTTAATCCATCGTATAAATAAAGCTCTATCTGTAGGGTAAAGAGGCGTTACAGAAGAGTCCCACGTGTTAATTCTATAATAATTAAATTAGCTAGCCCTGCTTAGGTAGGAAGACAGTCCGCTAGGGCACGCTAATAATAGGCTTATAGGCGCGCTATTAAGACGCTGTTGCCGGGATATTCGCTGATATCTCTAAGTAATTTTAGTCTTGTTGCTAGTATTAAAACCCCTTATTATACGTACTCACTAGTGTTATATTTTAGAAGAGAGAATAGAAGTGATAAGTTTGAATAAACTCGCCCTATAGCGGCGGCTCGTCCTATACCTAATTAATTAGCTACTATATTATAGGGTTATTCTACAGTTTCCCCTCTTCCTATTCAGGGCTCTAAAGAATTCTACGAAACCCATTCCTAAATATCTAAAAATAATATATCTAAGAGGTCTAGAGGAAGGCTTCCTCAGGAGAACCCCTATTCTAACTAATATAATTATTCTATAGTAATATATATATCTATATATATAAGCAACTATCACCTGGCGTATTTCAGAAATAAAAAAAAAAAGAGAAAAGTATTACTTAGGAGCTTAGTTCTCCTTTATTTTAATAGAGATGTAGGTCTGCTTCGCCCTTACACTCTCTAATAGATTCTCTATAGAATGCTTCCGCGGTCCTAAAAAGACTGTAAAGTTTAAAAACTAATGCTACTCGCGGCTAATCGCCCGATACTATTATTACTATTCTTTTATATAGCTAAGCGCTTTTTACAGACCCTACGCGTACACAGTCCTTACTATCTAGATTCTATAGCTAGTCTGCTTGTTAAACGCGGCCGAATCTGTGCTATAGTCCCGTTTAAACCCGCTGTATTTAAGATAAACACGCGAGATAGCAATAGCAATATATTAATAGAAAATAATATTCAGCTTCGTCTATAGATAAATTTTTATTTTACATTACAGGACAGTCCGTAGTTAGCTTAGGTCCTAAGTACTCTCCGTTGTTTTAGGCCAGAGAAACAACGACCGCGGACCTATTAATTAGTAGATAAATTATTAGATCGCCTATTAAAAAGGTAAAATTAACTAGAGATAGTAAACTAGAAGCTCGCTAATTAGCTTAAATAAATACTAGTAGATAATCTTCGTAGAGTTACTAATTAAATACTTTTTATAATAGAAGGTTACCGTGCTTACTAGCCTATATTTAATAAAGATATTTTAATAGCGTCTATAGAGGGTATTACTATACCGAAGACTAATAAGTTTAATCCTCTGTTCTAGCTATCTGGCGGTAATATAAATAAGCAGCAGCAGTTGCTTTAAAAACTAGTCTATCTGCTAAAGATACTGATTAACCGCGGCCAACCGTTAAACGACTTAAAAATTACTAGATTAAATATTAAAGAATTTGGCCCGCAGCTAGTCCGTAGTTAAAATCTAATTTATTAGCTATTGCTTACTGGAAAGACTTAGTACTTTTCTGTTTCTAGAATATTATAGAAAGTTTTATCTGCGTGTATTATTAACCGGATTATTTTACAGCTAGTCTAGAGGCAAGATAAAAATAACCTTCTCTCGCGTCTCCTTATTATAGAAAAGAAAGAGATTTTCTAAGCTCTGTTACGCGAGCTCTATCTAAATACGGATAAAATTATAGAGGCTAGTTATATTTAGACAGAGATCGCGGTAGCTAAAAATCTGCTTATTATTACTTTAATAAATATAGCTAAGGCTGATTGTGTTGTTCTAGATCTTCTTACTGTAAGTCTGAAAGCAGATAATTTAGCTAAAGAAAGTCTGTATTCTAAAGAGAAGAAACTAGAGTTATATATTCTCTAAGACGTCTGTTAAATAAGCTATAAATCTACGCTTTACTAAAGTAACTATCTATTCCGCAATAAGTATCTATATAATCTTCACTAGCCTAGAAAGATAATAGATATAAGCGTAGAGATCTCGGAACATCTAACGCTAGGGATTAATTCTAAAAACAGTAAGAAAGCCTACTAAAGTATTCTTATAGAGCTCTCCTTTTAAAAAATAGTCTAACAGAGTAATTGACAGGTCTAGGCAGGCTTAGTTAAGCCTTTTCTGCTTAGCTAGGCTGGTAGCTGTAGCTATAGAAGTAACAGCAGCGGTAACGGCAGTAGTAGTTATTATAGCTATAGTTATTCTTGTTTGCCGGAGTAGCTAGATCCTAGCTTTAACTATCTAGTCTAACGCCGCGAGCTAGGCCGACGTAAATTAATAGCGGAGTAGAATCGTCTAGTCTAAGCAGCTTATCTAATAGATAAAATAGATTAGCCGCTGCTATACCCGCCGGTAAAACACGTAAATCGTCAGCTTTAGATAAATCTAAATTAGTCGATCTTAGATCTTAGGTCGTTATATAAAAAAGATATTAATAGTAATCTAATTAAACTTATTAATGTAGTAATTCTTAATTATCTAGTAAGACTGCTAGATAAACTGCTTAACGCTCTTAACAAGCAGGATTACCAGAGGCTTTTATTTAGAATTAGAAAAAACACTAAGGTTAGCCGCTACTGCTAGATTACAGGACCCTAGGTACTTAGGCTATTAAGTAAGCTTTAGTTAAGATAAGACCTTAGTCGTATATTTCCGCGGGAGAATCTGCTAGATTTATCTTTTTTTATTCTTAAGATTCTGTTTAAAGGCCTCCTTAATCTAAGCGCGGATAAACTCGGCTAAGATTAGCGCTTATACTTATTAAGCCCGCTTAACTTACGCACGCGGGGTAACGGCGAAGAAACTACTATCTATAACTATAGGGAAAAATCGCTGGCAGCTCACCGGCTAGCCCCGGTAAAAAATTTTAAGCTCTTAGAAATAGACAGTCGCACCCTAACAACTAATTAGTTAGCTTAGTTCCGGATAAATCTTCCGAATATAT